GAGGCCCACAGAAAAAATGCGAGCATATCAGGAGGAGGAAGCCCACAAAAAGGAAAAACGTCTGCTCAAAGTTTATGATCAATGGAAAAGGCAAGTACGTACGACAAGAGAACAACTGAAAGGAGACATAACAAACAGTCAAATTGCTTCACTCCTGGACATCTTAGAAAAGGAAAGGGATAGTGTCATAAAGTTATATACAGAAATAAGGGAAATCATTACTCCCTGCAGTGACACTAGGCGACTTATAGATGCATGCGAAGCGGTCACTAATGACATTATCAAAGTTGCATATGAAAGACTCTCAGGGATAGATGATTATGACAGAGGAAAAGTGAAGGCACGTCTACGTGAACTTCTTACTCCAGACTATGTTCAATCCATTTACAGTTCTTCCATGACACACTCAAGTAAACGCTCAGCTGCCAGTAACTCAAACTCTGCAAGGTCAATAGCAGATGTAAAGAGAGCAGAGGCTGCAGCAGAGTTGGCAGCCAAGGAGGCAGAGTATGAATTGTTATTGTTTCGTTAAAATTCATAGTTCACGCGTCCTTTACTCTCCGTGTCTAAGGAATGACACAGATATTGGATCTGTTGCCATAACAAGTAGTGTTGATTGTTCATTAATGTGCACTGTCCTTAATAAAGAGTAGGGGTAATAAAGATCATTTAAATATTATTTTTATTTAAATATTATTTTAATCAATGAAGTGTTGAGACACTTAAAGAGTGGCAGAATTTCTGTTTTCTAAAAACAATATTTGTTAAGCTGTTGCTAAAAGACAAGCTTGTTTTCTTGTAATGAATTGAAATGAATTAAAGAGATAAGTGTTTTGTTTGTTTTTTTAATCAAATTTACATACCATAAGTTTCTTGTCTCTTACAAAAAACACTGATGTTTTATGAACAATTAGTGTTGACAAACTTTCAAAAGACCGTCAGAATTACTATGTTTTTGGGTCAATATTGTTTAGCTGCTGTTTTTCTTGTTGAAACAAAGTAAAGATCTTATTTTTATAAAATTTACCAACTCCAAGTGTCTTGTGTTAAGTAGATAAATGAATATTTCAGAACCACTTATGTTTTATTAATCAAACAGAGTGTTGAGACAGTTCAAAAGATTGGAAGAATTGCTGTTTTTTTTTTTTTTTTTTCAAAAATTAGATTTGTTGAGCTGTTGCTAAGACACAATCTTTTTTCTGGTAACGAATTGAAACGACCAAAAGACGTGAGTTTTATTTTTATAAAATTGACCTACTTTAAGTTTCTTATCTCTTTGGAAAAAACTCTTATGTCTTATGAACAATTAGAGTTTGAGACATTTCAAAACAGGGGTAGAATAACTGTTTTTCAAAAACAACAATGTTTGTTAAGCTGTTGCTAAGAGACGAGCTTTCTTTCTTGCAACGAATTGAAACGAACCAAAGACCTGAGTTTTATTTTTATAAGATTTACCTATTATAAGTTTCTTGTGTCTAAGTAGATAAATAATCTTTCAACAACACTTATGTTTTATGAAACAATGTAGTGTTGAGACACTCCAAGACAGGCAGAATTACTATGTTCTTTTAAAAATATTTTTTGTCAAATTTATCAAATTTATCTACTATACATTTCTTGTGTCTAAGTAAATCAATAATATTTCAAAAACAGTTTGTTAAGCTGTTGCCAAGAGAGATGCTCTTTTCTGGTAACGAATTGAAACGAAGTAAAGATCTTATTTTTATTTTAGAAAATGTACCTACTACAAGTTTCTTGTGTCTTTCAAAGACACTTATACTTTTAAGAATCAATAGAGTGTTGACACATTTCAAAGGAGCGGCAGAATTACTATGTTTTTTTCCAAAAATAACAATAGCTGTTCGTTCAGCTGCTTCTTAGACATAAGCTTGTTTTCTGGTCACGAATTGAAACGAAATAAAGACCTTTTTATTTTTAGAAAATTTACTAACTTTAGGTTTCTTGTGTCTAAGTAGATAAATGATTTCAACGACACTTCTGTTTTATGAAAAATTAAGAGTGTTGATACACTTAAAAATAACGGCAGAATTACTATGTTTTTTCAAAAAATATATATTGTTAAGCTGTTGCTAAGAGACGAGCTTTTTCTTGTCACGAATTGAAACGAACTAAAGATCTGAGTTTTATTTTTATAAAATTTACCTATGAAGCCAGGAGTAATGATGCACACAGAGCTTAAAAAAATAGAATATAGAAGAATAGTTTTCTCTCTCTCAAATGCAGATATAAATAAAATAAAATTCCCTTCTCACCCACCGCGGGTGGTTCTTATCCTCTGAGCTCGGGTCCTCTACCAGAGGCCTGGGAGCTTGAGGGTCCTGCGCAGTATCTTGGCTGTGCCAAGGACTGCACATTTCTGGACTGAGATGTCTGATGTTGTTCCTGGTATCTGTTGTAGCCACTGCTCCAGTTTGGGGGTTACTGCCCCGAGGGCCCCGATGATCACAGGCACCACTGTGGTCTTCACCTTCCAGGCCCTCTCCAGTTCTTCCCTGAGGCCCTGGTATTTCTCCAGTTCTCGTGCTCCTTTTTCCTGATGTTGCAATCACTTGGTATTGCTACATCTACCACAATGGCTTTCCTCTGTTGTTTATCCACTACGACAATGTCTGGTTGGTTCGCCATTACCATTTTGTCTGTCTGGATCTGGAAGTCCCACAGGATCTTAGCTCTGGCGTTCTCCACCACCTTTGGGGTGTTTCCCACTTTGATCTCGGGGTTTCCAGTCCATATTCTGCACAGATGTTTCTGTACACTATGCCTGCCACTTGGTTATGTCGTTCCATGTACGCTTTCCCTGCCAGTATCTTGCACCTGCTGTGATGTGCTGGACTGTCTCAGGGGCCTCCTTGCACAACCTACACCTTGGGTCTTGTCTGGTGTGGTAGATCTGGGCCTCTATTGCTCAGGTGTATATATATATATATATATATATATATATATATATATATATATATATATATTATATATATATATATATATATATATATATATATATATATATATATATATATATGCTGAAAAAACATGACCCGTATTCAATCAACGGTTAGCTTCAGTGAAAATGGCGGCCGTAGCTTCACAGAGCTAAACTCTAACAACGGGTAAAACAAACGGCAGTGGCAATTCGAGAACTCGGATCTTCTGGTCAGGTGGCCATATAGTCACCTTCCTCCAACCGGTCTCGGTGCACAAAATGTCCTTCTCTTCTGTTTGGATTTTAGTGCCACGATACATGAATGAGTTTTTTTTTAATTTCCGGTCATTTTAGACCTCTCTGTAACAACAGCACCACATGCTGGCAAAAACAAGAATAACAACCAGTCGTGAAACAAAAACATGCCTTTAAAAATACATTTGACAGGTACCCATTTTTTCACCTGGTTATACCTACTTTAAGTTTCTTATCTGTTTTGAAAAACACTTATGTTTTATGAACAATTAGAGTGTTGAGACACTTTAAAAAGAGAGGCAGAATTACTGTTTTTTTCCAAAAAATATTTGTAAGCTGTTGCTGAGACACAATCTTTTTTCTGGTAAAATTGAAACGAAGTAATGACCTGAGTTTTATTTTTATAACATTTACCTACTACAAGTTTCTTGTGTCTAAGTAGATGAATAATATTTCAACAACACTTATGTTTCATTAATCTAATGAGTGTTGACACACTTCAAAAGATTGGCAGAATTATTATGTTTTTTTCCAAAAATAACAAGATTGTTAAGCTGTTGTTAAGAGACGAGCTTTTTTTTCTAGTATCGAATTGAAATGAAGTAAAGACCTGAGTTTTATTTTTATAAAATTTACCTTCTTTAAGTTTCTTGTCTCTTTCAAAAACTCTTATGTTTTATTAATCAATGGAGTGTTGAGACACTTCAAAAGAGCGGCAAAATTATGTTTTTTTCCAAAAATAACAGTATTTGTTAAGCTCTTGCTAAGAGACGAGCTTTTTCTGGTCACAAATTGAAATGAAGTATGATCTGATTTTTATTTTGAAAAATTTTACCTACCATAAGTTTCCTGTGTTTAAGCAGATAAATAATATTTCAAAACCACTTCTGTTTTCTGGACAATTAGAGTGTTGACACACTAATTGTTGTTCAGTCTGTTTTATTCATATCAGAACTGATGTTTCTTAGAACTGTTTCTATTTTGCAGTGTTGTTGTGATTGTTTCTGTGTGTGTTTAAATGATCTTTTTATCACCTTGCTTCAAGAAAAATTTCCCTTAGCGGACAATAAACTGATATTTGCTTTCTGAGCTCATAACGTTAAAAAGACATTTTTGGAATAAAGCATATTCTCTTGCTGCTGTGAGCTCAAACCAGAGTTAAAAGAAAAAGTATTTAAAAAATATGCGAAACGACAACTACCAACACCAAAAGGATATTTACAGAAATTATTGCATTACAATTGAGCAAAACAGTAAAACATCTCAATGTTCAACATCTTACAGACATTTACTGTTAATTCTTCAAACTTAGGGAGATGCATCTTTGGCGAGCTCCCAAGGTCTAGCAACAGTTAAGTCCATAATTATTCATACTCCAGGTTGATTCAGAACGTTTATGATCATCATTCAACAAAATGATGATCACATTGTTTTATTTTAAGAAAAATAAAACAATGTAATCTGTTCTATTTACCAACGATCGAAAATTGAATTCATTTTTCTGGAAGTTGGTGTCAACAAAACATTTTTACTGTCTTTAGTAATTAATAGAATCCATATTTTGATAACAGCAATCAAACTCTTATTATATTGCTGATCAGTATTTGCATTTCTTTTTACTGTATTTCGCTGTTTTGTTGCAATGAACCCCAAGCCTTCCAGGTTGAAAGGTCTCCTCACCATCACCCTAATTTTTGCTCCATTCACAAAATTTTCCTAGTTTACTGCTAGAACAACAATATAATGTTGAAATGTTAATTAATAATATTACTTCCGAAACAAACAAACAATAAACATCTTAGTGAATTTTCAAGATTACTTAAGCTAAATCTGACAGGTGTGTAAATAATTTTGGGCTGAATTGTAGAATACCAAAGATGTCCATAAAGTTTTCAAGTTTTGCACAGACTTCACCGATGAATCTCGATGCCAATGAGGGCGTGTGTTCAATAAATACAGTAAGTTCTGTATTGGAAAACAAAAATATAAATGTCATCTTTCACATGTCATTTCTGTCCAAAAGGCAAACAAAAAACTCCAAAATAAAAACTTATTTTATCTTTCAGCAACAACTAATGTAGAACAAAGGTGATTAAACTGAAAGCAGACATTGAAAAAATTCTCATTAATATTCAAATTCACCAAACATGTACAATATGACTTCATTCTGTTCTCCTCTTTTAGTATCAGGCAGTTTCTTAAACGGGAACCTCTTCATTCAGATAGTCATATTCCGGGTCTTGCGCGTCAGAACCGCCTCCCTTACAGTCAAACGCCAGCAGGATGTGAGGAAGAAAAGAAGGGAAAAATGAGTACAAGAAAAATAAACATATAAAACAAGTTGTTGTTTTTTTTAAAGCGTTCAACGCATTCATGCACCTTATTTTGGTGGCGTTATTAAAACGGCATATGTTGATTGTAATTGTGAAATTGAATTTGTAGAAAAAAATATTTGTTTAATGTATTCAATTGTGCTTTTACGAGTCCAGAAAACACTTATCGACCTTCTGCACGTGACGTCACTCTTTGAAATTCAGCCTCTTCCGCCATGATGGACATCCATAACCTACGCGCTCCTGTCAAATTTACATATGGCACCCTGATGTCGCTTTTAATTAGTTGATTTCGCAGTGAAAATGATCACAGGATGCTGCGCGGTCGGCAGCACAAACCGGTAAGAAGTTATACAAACATGTTGTATAACTTTCAATGAGGAAAGACATGGCAGCAATGGACAGCAGCCATCAATCATAATTACTATCAGCCCTCTGTGTATCCGCCAGGTAAGAAGATTAACCTTCATATATTTTATAGGTAAGTGTGATTATAAATATATCAAATATTGCATTATGGCAAAGGTACTAATCATCAGTGAACATGGAAACGATGCTCCACCGTCGTGTAGCCTAGCATGTACGGGCAAAACTGGTTAGCATCTCGTCTTCTGCACGTTTTTAAGGCTGCTCTGGTTCAAGGGGAAACTGTTTATGACATAGTGACATAAATCAGTTTTGTGAATTCAGGCAAAGTCAACCATTTCAAGATTTGGTAAATGTCTCCATCTGTGAACCTTAATCAGGTCTGTTACGCTAAAAAAAAAATAATTAGCTCGACTCAAACAAGTAGAAGCCAAGAATAAACTGGCAAGAACAATTTCAGTCTGAAGTTTTAACTGAACCGTATGAATGTCTGAGCAGAATCAGCCTTTGTCCCTGTTCACCTGAATGTTCTCTCTGTCGTCCATCATCTCTTCCTCAAACTTGTCTTTGACGTGGAGATGGTTGAATTCAACAGGTTCCTCTGCTGCTTTTCTTCGCCTCACAAACAGAAAGAACGGCAGCCCCAGCACTAAATGAAGAGAAGACTCATAATCACTGCGTGGATGATGGTGTTGTAAATTCTATTGCCCTGATGGAGCAAGAAGCTTCTTATCCCCTAAAGCCTCATCCTATGATCACACAAGTTTCTCACATTAATCTTGCTCAAAAGGATCAAATTACCACAGCTCTTTGTACGCAATCACAGATTGATGTGAGTTTTCTCAGTTTTCTATATTCACTATCACATGCTTCTGTCATGTGCTGTCATGATGTTTAGCAGCCCCATTCGTCAGATGTGAACAAAGTGTCGGTGTCATGTTTTGTGGTAGAGATGGTGAGCAAGATGCAATGGACCCATTTATTCCACACCAGCCTAATGTGTTCTCTAAAGAGGGGTTCTATCTTAGGGGTTGGATCATTTAGAGGCTGCTACTGGAAAATTTAGTGTTGAATATGAATAAAATCATTGTAATATTAGTTTTATCTGAAGCATGCACTTGTGTAGTGAACTTTGTTGATTGTAAATTATTACATGTCCAACTTCATAGACGTCAGTGTTTGTCTTGTGTTTTTATGATAATCATGCAACATACTAGTTTCCAGATTCTCAGTTTAAAATGGTTCTTGGTCTCTTGAATTCAAAGCTGTTCCTCAAACAGCTTTGAACAGAAGCTTAACAAGATTCAAACTCACTGAACAGCAGCATGAGGATGCCTTTCAGTATTCCCAGGATGCTGACTGGTTGGAGCCACCGACAGTATTCTCCTGCCGGGTCACTACTTCTCCAGTGCAGTCACTCACTGTAGCTGTGACCTTGCTGACCTGAGACAGATCAGAGGTCTGCTTTACTGGTCACCTACTGCACAAATCGATTCTGATAAACAGATTTAAATATAATCAGCAGATTAATAAAAGTAGTCACGTGTTCTACTTACAGAAGGTTCTGTAAAGACCGGATCGTGATCGTTGCCGTCCGTCACCTTGATGATCACTTCGGCAAAATCCAGTCTTACCTTCTCCTTTCATGTCGGCTGCCTTTACTTTCAGTTTGTATTGAGGGATTTTCTGTTGTAACAAACATGGACTTGAATCAACAACTTTGCCTCCGAGCGACAAATTAAGTCCAGTGCAAAACTTTACTTTGATGGATCAGTTGGCTGATCACTGCATCACATGTTGGGAGAAATAATCTGAAGTGAGTTTTATAAAACTTGCCTCAACCTTTTAGTGAATTAAATTATTCTCCACATGAAGGTTGAATTCCGACCAAAATGTAAAGCTCCATGTTATCAACAGGAAATCTGACCGTGAGGACTTAGTGAGACACTCAGACTACCCTAACAGTCTTTGAAATGTGCTATACAGATGTAGTTGATTGATTCATTGATTAACTGAATTCCCACCTCTCTGTCCAGTCCAGCTTCTTTAACTATGATGTCTCCAGTTGATGGGTTGATGGTAAACATGTTGGGCTGGCTCTGGGCTCTGGCTCATTATAAAGTACCTGATATCAGAGTTGTCAGTATTTGGTGCATCAGCATCGGTGGCCACGACCTGAATCACCTTAAAACCTAATCAAGAGGAAACACGAAGCAGGTCAGTGAGAGCAGAGACATCAGTTTATCAACAGAGATTTAACAATGAGGCTGAGCTGAGAAGCTCTTCTTGTCTAGCTGATGATTCCAAGTTCCATTAAAACTCAGGTCAAAGGTCTTTCTAAATTTTGACAAATCACTAAAAGTCATCACAGTGACATCAACTGAGATGATGGCAGATTTTCTATTTGTATTTAAATTGTTGCTGAGTTTGATAGGTGAGGCAGGATTAGCTTTGTAGCACAATTCAGCTACAAGACAATTCAAAGAGCTTTACATGGTTTAGATAAAAAATACACTTTAGTGATATAATGCGGGAAAACAAAGAAAAGTTGGAAAGGCTAAAATTGCACATTAATGAATATTTATCTCTAAATAAATTGTCTTCGATTTAAAGGATCTCAGTGTTTCAGCTGTTTGCAGTTTTCAGGAAGTTTGTTCCAGATTTGTGGTGCATAGAAGCTGAAAGCTGCTTCTCCATGCTTGGTTCTGGGTATACAGACCAGAACCAGAACCAAGACCTCTGTCCAACTGCCAACTATCTTGTTGCTTTGCCACAATCAGTGTGAGAAGTTTTGTAAAAAAAAAAAAAAAAAAAAAGAGAGAGAGAGAAAAAGTGTGTAGCATACACCATAGAGTGTATGCCAAGCCAATCGGTGGCGCTCTAACACTGTCACAGAATGACAAAAAAAAAGAACACTGAACGTCACCATGTTACTCATAAAAGTGAGCTCATTGTGGGATCCAAAGAGAGCTACAGCAACCCATCCATCCTTTTCCGTCCCCCTTTCCCTATCGGGGTCGGGAGGTGCTGGTGCCTCTCAGCTGCGTTCCGGGCGAGAGGCGGGGTTCACCCTGGACAGGTCACCAGTCTGTCGCTGGACAAACAGGACAAACAACCATGCACACACACTCACACCTAGGGAGAATTTGGGAAGCCCAATAACCTGACAGTCATGTTTTTGGACTGTGGGAGGAAGCCGGAGAAACCAGAGAGAACCCAGCATGCACAGGGAGAACATGCAAACTCCCTGCAGAAAGACCCGGGCCGGAAATCGAACACAAGACCTTCTTGCTGCAAGGCAACTGCGCCACTGTGCAGCCCTTCAGCAGTCATAGTTAAAAAAAAAAAAAAAAAGTCTCAGCTCATGTATACACTGAAATATGAAACCGATCCACTCTGGAACCCTCTTTCAGAAATGATCTCTTCTGGTCTCCCAAAAAGCCGAATCCGTGTGGACAACAGAATAAAACAAAAAAACTTGCGGATAAATCTGAAACGGTCTCCTTGTGGCTGAGGCACAACGAGTTCATCTGCTGAACAAAGACCGAGAACGTGACTGCAGACTGAGGAGGTCATTCAGCCTCAGTTTCCTCCTCGGTCTGCAGCTGATTCAGGTCACAAAGGCTAAAAGTTTGCAAATATTTGTGATTTTAAATAAGATTACATTAATGCACTTATATCTACACATGAACAAAGACGTTAATGTGTGTGACTTTACCTCTTTGTGACGCCTCTGGAACTTCTCCCTCATAGATGGACTGACTGAAAACAGGTTTGTTGTCATTCTGGTCAATTACATTGATTTTAATTTCCATTGGCTCCTCTGCAGTTGCACCTTCCTCTGTCGTAACATGGACTGTGAGCTGTAACATGATGCCATTTTTTTAATCACCAGAACAATTATATTGTGTCTTTCTTCTTTCATAATGATGAAAAATAATTTGGTTTTTACTGAATACATTTCTGTGTAGGTTTTAAAATTACTTAATATTCTAAAAAGTTTTCAATAATTACAGTGAAGTATTCTGTGACAGATTGAGTTACTGAATCCTCTTTACAGTCAACATAAAAACCTCTGAAGAAGACGCTGAGCTCAACTTCCTTCTTCACAAAAAATGGAGCAGCGTCAGATTTTAATGCTTGGAGGATTTCTATTTGTTTTTGGCAAAAGATCTTCTAATACATGAACCAAATAATGAAACTATTTGATGATGATTTCATGAAAATAACTATTACTAGTTTCAACTATTTTAGTTGTGTTTACCCAGAATACTCTGCGCTACACTCTGCTTCCTGTTTTTTGAGAGGCCTCCGGTCCGGTTGGCATTCACATGTAATTCAAACTGTACCAGAGTTCACTTCATCAGAACTGAGTCTGAGGTTTCTGGGCTCTTGATTCTCCTTTTTTTTTTTTGGTCTGCATCAGAGTTTGACTGCACATTCACACGATCCCAAACCAGCTGGACTTTCTAGTTCTATTACGGTGGCGAAACAGGACTGGTGTGGATGAGGCACCCAACAGATAGCAGAGAAAACACTGACCAGGTACTTGTCCTGTTTCTCTCTGTCCAGTTCCTGTGTGACATACAGACGACCAGTGTCTCTGTCCATGGTGAAAAGACCAACAGGAGGCTGATCTGCTCCAGGACCGGTGATGCTATAATAGATCCTCCTCATCCTGCCTGCATCAGAGCGTATCTGGACAACATAGATCAGGGTTGAATAGAGACAACTTCAAAGACAACAATTAGCAAAAACTGTTCAGTGAGGAGAAAATTATTGTGGGATACAAAATGTCTTTTGATTAACTTAAACTTAAGAGATGTTTTAGTTGAAGCATTTATTCTATGTTATTTCTGGTATAAAAGATACAGGCCTGAAACACATTTTTTTTTTCACTTTGGAGCCAAATTCAGTTTTACTAAACACAAAATGAAATGTAGAAAGTTTGTAATTGCACATTACAAACATATGATATAAATAAAGAGGAAAATACACTGCAGGAAATGTTTCTGACATCTTAAAAAAAACTGTATAACATTTTTGTTCCTGTTACCTCAGCAATAAAAAAAGGATAAGGTCCTCTAGAATTCTCAGCAATGTTTAAGGGAGGGATAACCCAGTCTCTCTTCCTCCTCTTCAGTCCTGGACTGGATTTAGTGAAATCCAGGACGGGGATCTGAGGACCAGTTGGATCCTAAGGAAACAAATATTCTGTCTGTAAATGACTGAACCGACCTGTGAAGGTCTGGTGAATGATGAAACCAGGTGCAATCTGGCCCTCAAGGGCCCCTGAAGACGAGTATCAAAATAATCTCATAATCCTGTTACTATGATGATGAGAACAGTTCACAACGCTGCTTTTTAGTCACTATATTGTCTGTTTGTTTGGCTAATTTTCATTAAATGTGTGTGTCAATGATGTAAAAATAAAAAATGAAAGAAAAGACACTCACACTGTCTCCAATATGATGATTGTCTGTGTCAGTTTCCAAGGCTTTTTTGCTCACTTTTAATATTAACATCTCTGACTCAAATCCAGGCTGAGATGGGATTCCTCTGCAGCTGCAGTCTAGAAGAGGAGAAGAAATATGTTTATTTTAACGGCTAATTTCTATTATATGGTCTCAACAGTTTTTACATTGTTGGAAATTTCACATTTTTCACTCCATCCATCCATTTTCTGTCCCTAATGAGGCCGGGAGTTGCTGGTGAGAGGCGAGATACAGCAACGCAGAAAAAACAGGACAAACACACACACACACCTCGGGAGAATTTAGAGAGACCAATTTACCCGACAGTCACGTCTTTCTGCAAACTCTGTGCAGAAAGATCCCAGGCCGGGAATCGAACCCAGGACTTTCTTGCCAAGGCAACAGTGCTACCAACTGCGCCACTTTTCAACAATGTAATAAATATTGTTTTGTAGATCAATTTGTCTGTTAAAATGTTCAACAGAAAATAGTGAAGTATCATGCAATATGCAAATTTTGAGCTGAAAATTTTTTCACTCCAGTTTGATTTCATACGCCCTAAAATCAATGTCATTAATAAGAGCATGTTAAGATCTGTCCTGCACTAAGCAGATTGTTTCAAATTGCATTTAGAAAGGGCCAGAACCCTGCAACTTTTACATTTGTTCCTTGTACTACATTCTTTAATTAAATGGTCAAACTGCCTCATTAGCATTCAGTCCAGCTCTACAAAGTTTCTGCTGATGAGTGCATGTTTGAGCCAGGTGTGTTGAAGCAGAGGTGAAGGAAACCGGCCCTGGAGGAACGCAGTTTGAGACCCAGACGTAGCAAACTGTCCGAGCTGTGATGCTCAATAGTTAGGTTTCTTACATTGATGGAAATGTAACATTTTTCAATAACAAAACCATAGTAATAACGTTGTTTTGTGCATGTCATACATGTTTACTACTTTTAACTGTCACCTATAAAACACAAAATAACAGAGACACTTAAAAAAAAACAAGAAATGGAGAAGTGTTAAAATTAAAGGAGAGAAAACTTCGTACCTGCCGCAAGAAGATCCAAACACTCCAAACTGCAAACCAAGTGGTCCCCATTTGTGTGGAGAAGCTCTTGTGTTTTATTTTTATGAATCAAATGTTTTTTTTGAGAGACAGAGAAGTCAGCACGTCAAGACTCTCTGCAGACTGTTATCTTCTGAGCCTGCAGTGGGCACGAAACCACTAAATGTTCACATAAACCACTGCATGCACACACAACCAAACAAAAGTCACAAGTTCTGCTTTTTTTCACCAATTTGATCATTTTAAACAGGCTGTGTGTCAGTTTTTAAACTCTTCTCAGGTGCTGCAAGTGGCATCTGTAAACTTAAAGTGTGTGTGTGTGTCAGACCTTCCATTTTTCAGTCCTCAGCTGTTATCAGCAGCAGTTTATATGCATGCTGCTGATATATCATATATTTGATATATCATATATCTGATATGATATATATATCATATCAGACGACGACAGTCACGCGTCAGCTACATCCTCATGCACTCAGAGGTTCAACAAATTTCCGAAACCAAACACTCCAAAGAAACAAATAGAAATAGTAAATAGATTCTTGCCTTGTGACCAACTGACACAGAATTCATGTTGTTACACAAGACCCACTGTTCTCTAGTGAATTTTTAGTCCTACCCAATATTTTTAATAATTGTTATATTAAAAAGTGTTGTTTTTTTCTTCAATAGCTTCCGAGTCATGTGCCTTATTGACTCAAAATCAGTGTGAAACGGTTCTTAACTCGTGAGATGAAGTGCACTCGTTTTTATTGCCTTTGAACCTTTTTGTATTTTAGCATCTTTTTGTTAAAATGTAGTATTTTTCTTTGGCTTCTGGGTCATGTGACCCATTTGCACTAAATCAGTGTGAAATTGTTCTACTAGACTTTGAAGATGAGGCTCACCTGCTTTTATTCCATTGAAACATTTTAGTCCTTGTCAGTAGGACAGTGAGCTACTAAAAACCAAATATGATTGGCAAAATTAACATCAAAAATGCAAGAAGACCTAAAATGGGGAAGATACTAAAAGGGTTCTTTGACCTCTTTTATGAGCTGAGTTTATCTTTTTGTCATTTATAATCTGTGGGTTAAAATAAAAGAAACTCTTTTTTTCTATTATTTCTGTTATTTTCCTGTGACTCCCCCTAGAACAATTTCACACTGATTCAGTGTAAATGGGTCACATGACCAGAAAGCTATAGAAGAAAAATACTACATTTTAACAACAACAAAAAGCAAAAATAATATCAAAAGGTTCAAATTCATAAAAATGAACAGCTTCACTCTGATTGGAGTCATTGAAGAAAAAAATAATTTTAATATTACAATTAAAAATATTGAGTATGACTTGAAAATTTACTAGAAAACAGTGGTTCTCATGTACAGCAGCCTTGAGGTGGAAGTTAAATGCTTGCATGAAAACCAAATAAAAGTAAGAATGTAGAAGAAGAAGAACAACAAATGGGGAAGTTGGAAGAAGAAGAATTCATGTCACAATTTAGAACTGGGCATGCAGGACTTAATAGTTTTCTCTTTTTGAAAAAAGAAACATGAAACGACGATTGTGATTATTGCAGTCAGATGGAGGCAGTGGGACAGGTCTAATTAGAATGTAATAAATATTCAGAGGGACGTCAGCATTTAAAGTCAATACAAGAGAGAAGAAGGGATTTCTGATAATATTTTAGGAAACGAATCAAATCTATAAGAAATCAATTAATTAGATTTTAAAAACTATTAGGTTATTTAATCGTTTTTAAAAGTGTGTGTGGGGGGTATGTGTGTATGCCGCGTGCGTGTGCATGAATTTGCACACTTCTACACACCATTGAGGTGCGTATTGTTAAATTCCCTCTGTATCGTTGATGACAACACTCCAGTCCGGTAGGTGGCGGTAAGTCACCTTAATTGGTTGCCATTTGCCAAAAAAAATAAAAGAAGAAGACAGAACAAACGGAGTGGAAAGCGGAACCAAAACATGCGAGTCGGCTTCAGTTTCTCCCCGGCGTGTAAACAACTACGGAACGCAGCGGAAGAAGGTCCATCGTGCAGAAAGGCTGACCATGTGCTAACAGCGTTAGCATTCTGCTGCTACGTCTTCTCGATTTACTTCCCAACATGGAGAACATTACAGACGGAACATGGGACACTTTACCTGTCCAACTAAACGAGAAGATTTTACAAACGCTTGAGGAAATGAAATTTACCTTCATGACACCTGTAACAGGTAACTTTCATTAGCCTTAAATCCTTGTTTCAATCCATGCTGCCCTGAATCTCCACCTGTCCTGACTGATGGATCTCTTTTCGTTGTAGTCGGCTTGTATTCCGCTGTTCATGAACAATAAAGACGTTGCTGCTGAGGCGGTGAGTGTGAACAAGTTGTTTAAAGAGGCCGAGACGGAGCAAGAACTAGGAATTGGCTGCATTAAAAACATTTTTTTGAAATATCCAGATTCGAGGAGACCAGATCGAGAACTCATCAAATTATTAGAAATTAATTTAAAGAGGAATGACTTTATATTCGATGGCCAATTCTTTCTCCAAATCAAGGCCACGGAATGGGGAAGAAGTTTGCACCAGCTTATGCAACATCTTCATGGCTCAGTGGGAGGCCGGGGCCCTTAGTACATGCAGGAAAACACCCCTGCATTACTACCGGTACCTGGATGACATCTGGGGGGTCTGACACATTCTGAAGCCGAATTCCAGGAATTCCTCCAGCACCTGAACACATACAATCCATCTATCACAGTAAAGTCCACTACCAGCGTTAAAGCGGTCGACTTCCTGGACACAACCACATATAAAGGAGAAAACTTTGACACAACACATAAATTAGAGATTAAAGTTTTCTTCAAACCCACAGACACACATGCTCTGCTATTTAAAACCAGCTATCATCCAAGGCACACTTATCTGGCCTAATCAAATCACAGCTCCTCAGATTTCACAGAATTTGTTCACAGAAAACAGACCTTTAAGGAGGCAACTAGGATTCTGTTTTCTGCTTTAAGTAAGAGAGGATATTCCAGATCTTTCCTGAGAGCATGCAGGAAGAACTTCCTTGAGTCCAGACCCCCCGATTCATCACCAATGTTTCCTCTGATCACTACATTCTCCTCAGCAGGACAGTTTTTGGCATAACATCAAGCAGAATTTCACCAAATTCCAATCAGACACCTCTTTGCTGCAAAATTACAGATAATCGCGGCCTACAAAAAGGAACAAGAACCTGAGGGATTTCCTCGTCCGTGCTGAGGGTTCGACCTTTGAATGCACCAAAGGTCAGGGGTCAGAGCGAATTCTTTAAACAGCTGCACTGGGTACAAAAACAGACTCAAAACACAATTTTCAAATTAGACCCATCAGGAAACCCCAAATCAAAAAATTGTGTTTATTTATAACATGTCAAATCTGTAAGATCCAGTATGTGGGTGAACGGGCAACAGCCTCCTTACCCGTTTCACCCAGCATAGATATAATATTCAAAAAGAAAAAAGGACTCATGTACCCTTAGTGCAGCACTTTATACGCCACGGCTGGGATGCACTTTCGGCCTCCGTGCTGGAATGCAACCAGCCTGGTCCTCAGCCCAGAGGAGAAGGGCTGAAAGACTGTGGATCCACAGGCTGGACACACAGATCCCCAAGGGTCTGAATGAGAGGTAGGCTCCGCGTGGGACTCCTGGCAGGACGTGCCCGTGCATCCTGGGGGAGGGAAGAAGGAGAGGGGCTGAAGGAAGGGGACCTGGAACCTTCTGGGTCCCTGACCTTTGACCCTGAACCCAAACCCCAACCCCAACCCTTTCCAGCCATGCCTCCTGTCCTAGGATGTCCCGCGTGGTCCTGCCTTCTCTGTGACGACCGCGGGGGTGTCCGGCCACTGTGGAACAAGAAAACACCGGATTATTGTCCGATCCCCCATACAAACCCACAGTCTTTATCCCTAAACCTAAACCTCCCAGAACCCCATATCTAAACCTAACCCCTGATTTTGGCCCTAACCCCACCTATTTAATCCACATCCCCCCCAGCAAAACACTGTGCATCACTGAGTGAGCTGTATATAAATGTATGTAATATTTGACCTCTTTAACCTTTTTTGTATATTTTCTTTAAGGGCAATTTCGCCAATTTTTGTAAATAAATTTGTAAATATTAAATTATTGTGAATTTTGTAAATATCGTCACCTGTTTGTCTAATTTTTCCTGTAAATATTGATTATTGTATTATTTTTTGTAAATACATTTGTTGGATGGAAGCTACACTTTGTGTAATATAATGATCGGCCAGCAGAGGGAGGCAGCGCATGTAAACAAAGATCAGCTGTCTTCTGTCACTCCCTCAGCTGGTCGCTGATGACGTGCAGCTTCCATCCAACGGCCAATCAGAGCCCGCTGACTGTAAATACTGTATTTTTCGTTCGAATTTTGAAAATATTTTCTATATATTGTTGTTTGTCCTGTTGGACAGTTTGACAGCAAACAGCCTGATGAAGGTTCATCGTGACCGAAACGTTTGCTGTGTTTGCTGTCATTTTCGATTAAAAAGTGCCTCACGAGGGAGGTCACGTGATCCGGACCAGATGGAGGCTTGAGGCTCTTCTCCGCTCCAGGCTAAAAATAATCTTACATCTTCCTCCAGTTAATACGTCTTTGTCTACTTTGAAACATTTTGGGGATGCCTCGATCACAACGGGAAAAAGATTTCCCAATTTTTTCCCCGCCGGGTTCTTCCACAAAGAAGAAAATCGTTCCGAAGGAGCCAGGTCAGGCTGAGGCTAATGCTAACGTCTCGGAGCTAACCGACCAAACTACAATGGAGCTGATTTTATCTGAGGTAAAGTCGTTGGCCTCCCGGTTGAAAGATATGGATGCATCAATCGGCACCCGACTCGATACTATTGATGTCGCACTGGGCGATTTAAAGGCCTCTGTCGGTTCGGTCGAGAGCTCCCTGTCGCTGCTCTCTAGCAGGGCGGCGGACTTGGAAAAACGCATGGATGAGGCCGAGGGGAGAATCTCCGGGACAGAGGACAGCCTCGGCGCTCATGGGACAAGCATAGCCGCCATGGAGAAGATAGTGGAACATCTACAGCTAAAAATAGATGACTTGGAGAACCGTGGTCGGCGTAAAAATTTAAAAATCATTAACTTACCAGAGAAAGTAGAGGGCAACACTCCTCTTGTAGACTTTCTCCAAGAAATTTTACCGACCTTGGTCGGTTCACCAGCTGATCATCCAGCTTTGGAGATCGAGCGGGCCCACAGGGCTTTAGCTCCTGCTCCGGCCCCGAATAAACCACCACGAAGTATCCTGGTTCGTTTCTTGAGATATTCGCACAGAGAGGCTGTGCTTAATGCAGCAAAGAAGAAGCGTGACATATCGCATGGCGGCTCTCAATTGAGATTCTACCCCGACCTGTCCGCGGAGGTCCTGAGGAGGAGGCGAGAGTTTGGTGCTGTGGTGAAGGAGCTGATCCGCCGCGACAAATACCGTGGATTTGCCTATCCCGCACGGCTCCGATGTCTTCATGAGGGGCGAATCCGTTTTTTTTCGATACATCCGAGGCTGCCGCTGCATTTTTGGACTCTCTCAAATGAGGTAGCCTATTATGTTTATTATTGTTTCTTTTTCTCCGCTTTGTCTAGAGAATTTGGAGGAGGATGGACTTTATTTCCACACTGAGACCCAAAAAACATTTTTACTTTTGCTTCTTTTTGAACTTAGTACGTTGGGAGGCCTCTCAGTGTGGCTATTTTTTTTTTTTGCCTGGACTACGGATGGTGTTTTGAGCATCCGGTTGTTGCTGTGATTGAACTGTAAAAATCGGGAGTTGTATGCCTTTTGGAAATAACAGTGACATCTTTTTGGGTTACTTTTTTTTCTGTCGTTTGGGGACAGAATAGGGGAGGGAGAATGCTGTTGTTTGCAGATTCGATATTTTATTTATTTATTTTTTTTTGGTGTTAAATGTCAGGAGCCTAAATGTGTCTTTTCTTTTCTTTGTACATACACAAATGCCTATGTACAGACCAACCTATTCGAATATGACACCCAGTGTTTAAGGGCTGTTTTCTGTCGTTACAGTTTGTATGTCGGGCTCTCTTAGGATTGTGACTTGGAATGTGCAGGGACTGGGTCATGTGATCAAGAGGAAAAAGGTTTTGACTTTCTAAAAAAAAATAAACTTGATATAGCACTATTACAGGAAACTAGGTTATCTGCTGCAGAACATTTGAAACTTAAAAGGGACTGGGTAGGTAATGTATATTTTTCTGCCCATTCACAAAATAAGAAGGGTACAGCCATTCTCATACACAAAAATCTTCCTTTTGTTCTGGAGCATGAGGAGAAAGATTCAGAGGGGAGATTTATTTTAATTACGGGGTCGATCCATGGACAACACATAACTATTCTTAATGTATATGCCCCTAATGATGACTCGCCTCAGTTTATGTCACGAATTATCTTATTGTTTAACCATCATTGCAAAGAAATCGTTTTTTTTGGCTGGTGACTTTAATTGCGTAATGAACGCATCTTTGGATAGATCCTCCTCTGCAAAATTGCCGAACCCGAAAGCTTCAGCTGTCCTAAAAAACTTATGTACAGATACTGGTTTGATAGATATTTGGCGACATTTACATCCTAAAGCAAGGGACTATACATTTTATTCACATCCCCATAACACTTATTCCAGGCTGGATTATATTTTTATCCCCAAGTCGCTTTTACATTCAGTTCAAAGTTGTAACTTAGACCCCATAGTTTTGTCGGATCATGCACCGGTATTTTTAAGTGTTGATCCATTATTGCGTATGGCTAGAACTTTCACTTGGAAATTCAATGCCTCTTTTTTAGATAATGAACCCTTCTGCAACTTTGTACGGAGTAACCTATTTGCAGTTTTGGCTCGAAAACAAACACTCTCCTGTATCTTCTGCTATGATCTGGGATGCAGCAAAAGCTACTTTGCGTGGTCATCTTACTTCTTACTGCTCTCATCAAAAAGCGGCTCTAGCAGAGAGGAGAAATAATCTGGAAAAAGAGGTGACCCGACTAGAGCAAATACACAAACAGTCACCGACATTGTCGAATTTGAAGGCACTAATGGCTGTTAAATCTGAGCTTAATATAGACTACACCCGCCAAGTTCAGAAATTACTACTTTATACTAAACAGAAATACTATGAATTTGGTAATAAGC